TGTGTGTGTGTGTGTGTGTGTGTGTGTGTGTGTGTGTGTGTGTGTGTGTAAATGGACATGATAAATAGATGATAGACAGACAGACAGACAGACAGACCAAACTTTGCAAGAAAATCTCAGCTTTCCATTTAATTTAGCTAACTCAAGAGTTCAGTTTAATTATTATGACAACAACAGCAACATAATAATTATAATTCAAGACTGTTTTTTTAATGAAGTCAGAGATAATACTATTTCTTTTCTTAGTCTGGTGTCTTCTAGTTGTTCCAGACTACAATCCCTGATATCCACACCCAATTTACTGTACATCTACCTTTTTTAAAATGTTCAGGTAAGTAGTAAAACTCTTTGGGGGAGGACTACCCTTGTCAAGAACAGCACACACTGAAAGAAGAAAATTGAATCTATTAATATTCAACTCTCTTTCTATGGCAAAATCAATTCCATTTCATTTATATAGCAGTTTTAAAATAAAGATAAAATTTCTTTGGCATCACTTGATTTCCCCCCCCCCCTTCTTTTTAATCCCTCGTACATCAGGGAGTCAACTTTTCTGAGTAGGTGGCATTCATAGGTTTTAGAGTTCCACTGACTTGTCCCAATCCCAATAATTAGGCTTAAACCTGCATAAAGAAAAGAAAAAAAGAAAAACATCTCCCTACCTGCATTAACATGCTATGTAATATAGGCTTCAGTAGAGGATATCAGTAGAAAAGACAGAAAGAATCTTCATCAATGGATTCAACCTGTCTTCTCAAAGCAATTCAAACTGAATTTAAAACAAATCAGAACACTTTCTCATTTCTGACAGTGGAACTTCCTTCTTTCCTCCTGCATGTCTTGTTAGTATTTTCAAGCAGCAATTATTACACCTTTTTTTGGCCATCTACCACCTATTCTAGGGATATCATTAGGGTTTCTGCTGTGTGTTTTGCTTTTCACAAATATGCTTCTAACTAATATCAGTCAAACCCACTGTCACACATAGAAAGTCACAAGTACAAGGAAGGGAACTGTATAGCTATGAAGCATGGGAAAGAGATAACCAGATAGGAAAGGAAGCAAAACAGAGTGATACTTGATTCAGCTACAGCAAGTCCTTAACTTAACAAGCACAATTGAGCCAAAAATTTCCATTGCTAAGGACAGATGTTTTAAAGTGAGTTTTGCCCATTTTACAACACTTTTTTGCCATGATTGTTAAGCAAACCACTGCAGTTGTTATCTGGCTCCCGCCTTTGAATTTGCTTGTTGGAAGCCAACAGAAAAGGTTACAAATGGTGATCACATGACCCCAGGTCAAGGTAGTTGTCATAAATACGTACGTGCCAGTTGTTAAGTGACCAAATTTTGATCATGTGATCATAGGTACACCACAATGGTTGTAACTGTGAAAAACAGTCATAAATCTTTTTTTTTCAATGCCACTGTAACTTTGAACAGTCAGTAAAATGAATGGTTGTAAGTTGAAGACTACTTGTATTATAAAAACAACTTAAGATTCACAGGTAGCAGGGATGAGCCTAGTTCATCAATCCATCCTTATAATGCTATCTATAGCCATTTGCACCTCCATCTATGAGATCCTGAAGACACTGAAAGAAAGTAATTGAACCACCACAAACGTTTTCAGTGAATTCCAGAAAATTGACTCATCCATTTTTATCAATTCAGATATCATCATTGGGAGGAAAGCTCTTTTTTTCTTCTGAGAAATATTGAACAGTATTACTCAAATTTGAGGGACTCAAAGCTCATAGCATTAATTGCTCTGGGGGGAAATTTTGCTTAAGGGTAGTATTAAAGCATCACATTTAACAGCATACTTTCTATATAGCTACTTTACTAGATTATGAACGTGAACATAATTCAATTGAAAAGATTCTCAAATATTACAAAAACAGGACTTTAGTAGTAAAATATGAGGACCAAAAAAGGCCTTCTGCTAATTTGTGCCTGAAAACATATATTCATTTTTTTATGGGAAAGACCCTGCACATTTATACTGTATCTTTCGAACGTATCCAGGGATGATTATGGTATGTTATGGACCATCTCATATTATCTAAATGCTGCCTAAGCTCTTAATTTTACCCTATTTTGCCAAATGCAAATAATTAAGAAATGATTCTGGGGAGTTCCAAGCCAGCAATAGGAAGTCACTGACTACACCATTGAACTTGCTTCCTAGATCATTTGTACTCTACTAAACAGTATAGGATGAGGTGAAAAAAAGATGCTTAGTCAAAGAATCAGAGGTGTTCCATTAGCACACTTCCTCTCAAAATAGAAAGTCCTTGAACATACCATATACAATCAAGAATTTAAAAATGCATCAAATGTCATTTTAACAATGGTTGAGTCTAAAGACATTATCCAGATCATTTAATCAGAGTTGGGCATCTCAAAAAGCTCTCTTTAACAAGTGAGTGGCTTCAACACATTGAGATTTATAGCAGAAGCCATGAAAAAGTATGAGGATATACTGTAATGATGAATGCAGATCCATTCAAGTAAAAATAAATCTAGGTGGTGTTGTAGTTCCATCCTGTAATCATCTGCCAGTAGAGTATCAGGAGTGATGACCCAAGGTAATCTTCCATCAATAATATGATCCAGAAAGCATCGGCATTTGATTTTTTTTATAGTTGTTCCTTTTAAAAAAATAGAAACCTATCCTTAGCAAGGATTTGTTTCTCAATTTTCGTCTAGAAATATCCATACATCTCATCATAACAGATACAAACACAAGATGATCTATACCATCTTTTCAGTCCTGAATTTTTTTTCTGGAAGTAAACCGGAAATAATAAAGCTACATTTTGGTATGGACATGATGCAGCATTCCAATCTGAAAACAGTGGCACAATACTTGCAACAACAGTATTGGGCATTTTTCAAGACAAGTACTATTTTGGATATAATAATAGTATTATTATAATATCATATATAGCTAAATCTAAGCATAGTTTACATTGACAAAATGTCAGCTCAATATAAGCAAATGCATGTGTGTGCATATATGTATGGGTGTATTTGTATATTATTATTTGCGTTTTTAGTGACTGAGTATTGGTGATGAATGCTGTCCTGATCATTTGTTACTGTGTGATGAATAAAGAGATACAGATATGAAAGAAATAAATAATGAATAAAACTGTAAGATCCTAGTAGTTTTATGAGTGAAAGGATTTAAAGAAAGTTTCTCATTGCTAAGAATTTTCATTAATGATTCCACAGTTGTTAATCGTGGAAAGGAAGCAGGAGGAGAGGGAAAAAGAAGGGTGGTGAGGATAAAAAGTTACAAGCTTGGTCTTCTTCACTTTCAGTTTAAAGCAACAAAAAAAATCTAATCTGGAAATTCCAATAAAACATTTGGAAAGCAAAAAATAAATTAGACAATGCCAAGACATATTATGCCAAGTGAACCAAAGTCTAAAACAAAACCCGGAGAAATATAGAAGTATCTAGGGGGGAAATTGAAGGTGAATAGCCATTTACCATCTTATCTATTGCTTTTGGGACTTGTATTATTCTGATATCTAAGCCCTGTGCATTTAAATGGAATAGAAATACACACTATGTACAAATCATTGTACAAATCATTGCCTGTATCACATGCAAATATTTACATCTGAATTAAATGGCAATGGAATTAAAAGCAAAATAAGAATACAGTATCCTCTTATTTATTAAAAAAATACAAATTCTGTTATTGATCCTGAAAGTAGAAGCACAACATGGTTGTTTCTTATCTTTAAAGGTTTTAATGACCAAAAACAGACATACAGAACAGTATTAATTGGATTATGTATGACAGTGCTATCATCTTTTAAAAGGCCAGTTTCACCCTATCTTTGACATCAGTTTAGCAGCATATTATTCCAACAGAGGACAAAAATAAAATTGACACTAAAATGTTTAAGGTTATTATTGCATGCAGGTTTATGATAGAGTCCACTAGATACATTGTTTGAAAGATAATTCTTTACCTTTTTGACTTCGTATTTAATTGCCAGTTTGACACGACTCAGTGAAGCTCTGTGCCTCTGAATTTCAACTGGCTCTGCTTCCAAATCTCCATTCAGAATGGCTTCCACCTCTTCAGAATCCCGACAGAGATCAAGGACGCCCACAACAAAGTCCTTGCATTGCATAGACAACTTACGGTAATCATTCTAGAAGACAGAAATATAACAGCTTCTGAGCTCTTAGGACATAGACAAGGATTGCTCTAAATAATTTAATGGTTATCTATCTTCCTAATTTGGACATATTTTTATAACAGTTGCATTACATGTTTATAAATGACACCATGCCTGCCTTTTTCAGATTATTTAAATGATATTTTACAGCGCACAGAAATGCATACACATCTGAGAGATAGTTAAGAAAGATGTCTGCAGGTAAAATAAATTATTAAATGAATTATTCATTAGTGGAAAAATTTCAATAATTGCAAAAGAATGATGTTTCAGTAGGTGTGAGTGATTATGGCACATACAGTGATGCAAGATGTTTTGAAAAGATAAACATGACTTCAGCCCTGAAAGGATTTTTAGCTTAAAAGTTTATATTGTAGCCCAAATATTAAGGAAAACAAGAGAGGCATGACAGGCTCAACAAGTCCATTGTAAAGCATTTACATTAAATGATGAATCACTATATTTGATAATATAGTGAAGATTCTTAATAGCAGCTTACAGCATATTGCAGAAATACACTTTAATAAATTAAACTATACCACAGTCATGTGTTAAAAGATGTTAAAGATGATTAGGGGACTGGAGGATAAAACATATGAAGAACAGTTGCAGGAATTAGGTATGCGTAGTGAAAAGAAGTAAAGGCTATATGATAGCATTATTCCAATATCTAAGACTGCCACAAAGAAGAGGGGATCAACCTGTTCTCCAAAGCACCCGATGGCAGGACAAGAAGCAATGAATGGAAACTATCAAGGAGAGAACCACCTAAAACTAAGGAAACATTTCCTCACAGTTAGAACAATCAGTGGAACAGTTTGCTCCAGAGATTTTGTGTGTTCCAATACTGGAGGTTTTTAAGAGATTGGACAATTATCTGTCTGAAATGGTATAGAGCTTCCTGCTTGATCAGGGGCTTGGACTAGAAGACTTCCAAGGTTCCTTCCAACCCTGTTTTACTGTTAAGTGGGAAAACCATGACTTTGACAATGTATATCTTTGTGTACTGTTACTGCACTTTAAAACTTTAAGCTGGTTAAAGTTAAAGGTTTCCCTTTCCAGTTGTGTCCAGCTCTAGGAAAGTAGTGCTCATCTCCATTTCTTAAGAGAGCAAGCCAGCATTATGGAAAGCCATTCCCATGGTCATGTGGCCAGCATTACTATAAGCTGAGGCACATGAAATGTGGTTACCTTCCCACCAAAGTGGTATCTATTTATCTACTGGCATTTGCATGGTTTCAAACTGTTAGGTGGGCAGGAGATGGGGCAAGTAATAGGAACTAACTCCATCGCGCAGCTCTCGGGTCTCGAACCCAGGCTGTCAGTTTTCCAGCGGACAAGCTCAGTGTGTTTAACTGCTGAGCAATCGCATCACTATAAGCTTGGTTACAGAATAGCGAGGGATACTTACTGTCTATAGAAAGTTGAAGATTAAGAAATTAGTACCACCCCTCCTCCAAAAAGATCAAAATGTTTGCATACTATATCCAGATCATTTCAACGTGTCTAGTACAACTTTATGTCCAACAATTGTTTCACTTTATGCACTCTTATGTGCTTTAGTTATGTTCCACAATATTACCTCATATACTTGGCAAGAGGAGAAACAAGCAATGAATCAGCTTGCAAACTCATCTCAGACTAAAGTGCTGTGGTCAGCTCCACATAGCCTTATTTGTCATAAGTTATAAAGCTCTAAATGATGGATTGCAGGAACTGAATCTTTAAGGAAAACTCATGTCTGTCAGCTCTGGTTTAATTTTTGGATTCCACACACACACACACATTTGTTCCCTATCTGCAGCATTCTATAATATCTGACCCGATGAAGGGTTTGGTAAAACTCAACAGTTTATACTTTTGTTTCATTTTGGGTGGTGTTAAAGATATTGCCCAAATGTACATTTTAGACCTTTTTATAATTTACAGTCACTCTGGCTTATTGTGAGAAGTTAAGGCTAAAGGAAAAATCATTTTCACAAATATTGCATGAAGTTACAGAAATAAAATGGATAAATAGCAATAGCACTTAGACTTATATTCTGCTTCACAGTGTTTTACAGCCCTCTCTAAGCGGTTTACAGAGTCAGCATATTGCCCTCAACAATCTTGGCACTCATTTTACCGAGCTTGGAAGGCTAGAAAAGTGTTTTTCAACCTTTTTTGTGCAAAGGCACACTTTTTTCATGAAAAAAAATCACGAGGCACACCACCATTAGAAAATGTTAAAAAAAATTAACTCTGTGCCTATATTGACTATATAGGCGGGTGTTTTTCCCACGGCACACCTTACACTATGTCACGGCACACTAGTGTGCCGCGGCACAGTGGTTGAAAAACACTGCTATATGTAGACTATAAAATATATGCCTCAATAATAGCAGAGAGACAAAAAAGATTCTTGAATGAATTTATACATTCAGACCAGAATGGATTTTTACCTTAAAGGCAAATTAAAAACAACTTGAGAATTATTTTGAATGTTGGAGTATTATGAAGTACATTCTGAAAAACAAATAGCGCTGATCTATTTAGATGTACAGAAAGCATTTGACAATGTAAATTAGCAATTTATGTCACTACAATTAAAATATAAGGACTTTGGTGAAAAATTACTAATATGATTAAGGCAATATAGTCTAAACAAAATCTAAAGGTGATGGTTAATGGGGACATGACAGAGAATCTTAATATAAGAAAAGGCACAAGACAAAGATGCCCTTTGTCCCTCTGCTATTTATATTAACATTGGAAGTGTTAAATAGAAACATTAGATAAGATTCAGAAATAAAAAGCATGGAAAAAAAAACTGTAGGTGTTTG